AAAATTATTATTTTTTGGCTTATTTTTATAATTATTTGTAACATTATGAAATGATTAATTTCTAAATTTATCAATTGTATATCTTATTGTGCTTTTAAATTATATAAATTTACTTCATTTTTGGAAAATTTCTTTAACTTTATATAAACTGTTCCAAATTTGGAAGACTGATTTAACGTATGGGTGAACTATTTGAGTATGGGTATTCTGAACTATTTGAGAATTAAATAGATATAAAAACGTCTTGTGAAATATTTTGCCATTAATTAAATTTACAGTAGTTTTTCCACTCACCATTATTTCTACAAATAATTTGAGTTTGATAAATGTATATATATATATAATATATATATGTGCTTATAATTAAATTAATTTTAAAACAATTTTTATATATTAATTTTTGTGTATGGGCCAACATTAAATACCAAACTTTTCCTCTTTTGCTGCATCATTTCTCACGTCAAGTATCTCCCGATGTGTTTGTAGAATATTGGTGAAACATTCTTCTAGTTATAAAATATGTGACCGAGAAATCTTCATTTAGTAACTATAAATGGAACCTTATTTTCAACCAATGACACAGCCCGAGGGTAGATTCATCTGCAGAAAACTGTTTCAAACCAGACAAAAACTGTACCTAGAAAACACATATTTCTTACACGATATTTTCTTTTTTTCTTGAGATATACGATCAGAAACAGATCATTCAAGATTTGAAATGATTTAAATTTCAACTAGAGGAGGCTGAAAATCTTTTGCTTTGTAACGTCTAAGTAAAAATTCTACAGAATAAATTATAACACAAAATTTTGTATTACATTATTGGCTTTCCTTCAGTAAAGGAAATAACATAAAGACTAAAATGTTAACAGTTGTACAACATTACATAAAAGTGCTTCTACTTTACAGAGTTTTCCGTCTATAACAAGATCCCATATTTCGTTGATGCATTTAAATTCTTCGATCTTTGATGTGCCTAAAGGCCGAATTTAGATTAACATATTTGTGTATATAATATGGATTATTTAAGTTTCGCACGCATTTAAAGTGATATATAGCATGTTATGTATGTTACTGTCGTTTATTTTTTTTTTGGGGGGGGGATAACAAAAATACATTTAATCCTTAGAAAACCGAAGCCTTCGCTAATCTGTATACTTAAAATACCGAAACGCAGTCCCCGTCTCGTTTTTTTCCCTTCCTTCTCCTTCACTCAGGGACAAAGAGGCGTGAAAATTTCAAATAGCATCCTTTCTACTTCCTAACAAAGAAGCTTCCATTAGCTTTTTAAGCCAAGCTGTCTCCAATAAGCTTACACAAGGCATTTGGATAAACTGCACCTTCTACTGCATACCTTAAGGGAAGGGAAGAAAACAACATCGCACTCTCGGCCGTTTCGGGCGGTTGTGGTCGTTCGAATGAAAGGCTGTCTCGGGTGTTCAAAGAATTAAAGGCTGGGATTGTTTTCAACGACCTTTAATCTATAGATTAAAATGCGAACGCTTGTACAGTCATACAATTTTGTTGCTATAAAATGATATGAAGTTGAAGGGGCATTCCACAAACATAAAGCGTGTAACTTTCACAAGCATAAGCATGTACACTTTCTTTGCGCATTTCAGAAATGCTGCTTAGGGTACAATTGTTAAATACGTATTATATCATTGCAGTCAACAAAAATAAATCCAAAGCTGAAACCAATACAAGACAGAGAGTATTCCACAACCAAACAATTATTATAATTAAAAAAAAAATATTTCGCAAAATGTCTGTAGCAATGAATACGTTATTTGTAGCGTGTTTTGTAAATGCTTAGATGTAATAGAAATGTGTTATGTAAATGCCTAAATATATGAGATTTTTGACTTAAATCTACACCACACTTAACGTTGTTGTGTTACTCATTTTACATATTTTTTAATTTAACATTATTCACATGAAAATTAATCACTTTTATCCAGACCTATTGTATTATTTCCATTTGACTAATTAAGAAAGGAATCAACATTTAATGCATATTATTTTGCATTACTTTAAGTGCATTTTTTTATACCAGCAAAGACTTTTTTTACCTATGTTAAGCAATAGTGTTTGCTGGTTCATTTTTTACACCTATAAAAATTTAAACTGTATTGGGAAATATGATATTTTATTTTTGTCTTCAATTAATTTCCTGTTCTGTAATCTACCAAGTATATATTTTTGATTCATTTCGAGAGATAAAATTTGAATACATATATGTCTGTAAATTCCACTTTATCTTTTGATTTAAAATATTTCAGAAAGACCGTTTCGTACAGCAGCAAAAAGCAATGCGTCTTCTGGCTTTGGCGATCGCCAAAGATAGTGGGAAACCCTTATGACCAGCTTGACCCGGACAAGCCCCAGCTCCTAATCCAGGGCGGCGAAGAGCTCGGTCCCTAATGAACGCTTCGAAGTCTTATCTGACAAGAAGATTGTACTTGTCAAGTTCGTGTCAGGGCTTCGCATTCTGAAACTCCGGTCCATTGTCGGATCTCACTAAATACAAGTGGTCGAAAAACAAATGCTCGATGGGGGAAAAGAGAGGATTACCTAGGGAAAAACTGGTCACGGAACTTCTCGTGAGGGAAACATCACGCTAAATTTCAGCAATGTTTCCTAAAACTTTTTTTAAAGGAGCAATTTCCTGTTTACCTATTTATAAAGATCGTTACAAATAAAATAAATAAATAAAATAAAAAAAATTCTTTTATTTCTTTTGCTTAAAGTTTCGGTCTTTTTCTGGGGGGGGGGGATTGGCGAAAACGGTTACAACCGCATTGAGTTTAATGAATTTTAAGTGCAAAGGTAAATTTCAGATATTGAAAAATATAAAACTGGTTTTATATTAAAAGTACAGAGTTCCGAGTGTGTAAAATGTTTTCAGATACTCACCACTAGAAGTCCTGACTCCAAATCAATACAGAATTATTGGCCTTTAATAGAAGTTCCCCTTATTAAAGGGAAAAGGGACGTAAACAGAGATTTTAATCGGAAACATATGATTAATTCAGAATAGCTATATAATATTCTTTAGAAAGGCCCCACGGACAAGTTCCAAGAAGACAGTTCTCGCCTCACACGGACAGATACAGCGATCGTGAAGTCCTATTCAAAGCTTCGACAGACCGGGGGCCCGAAGCAAGAAAAGCCGCTGAACAATGGTAGTTCGGTCCGGAGTTCGAATCCCGGAGAACGGCCTAGCTGCATGGGTGTTTTCTTAGTTTCTCCACGTGTAACTTGAATTCCAGCCAGTTTCCCTTAAAAAGTCTTCCACGGATTATCCCTAACTTTCGGGTGTAGTGCCAAAAGGGGGAACACGTAATACGTAAATAAATCCAGATTTTATTTAAGAAAACTGTTTGCATTTTACTCGTATTATAAACTGCAAAAATGTTATCCACTTTCAACTTATTTGAACTTTAGTAAAAAGGTGAAATATTAGTAATTTGTTGAATTAACCATTTGCAGATTTCAATTATTTGGAAGTACAGTATACATGTGCAGCAGACATGAAACAAATAAAAATAATATGCTTAAACAAAACTAGACTAAAGCTTCACGAAAATATAACTTAACACGGATATTTCCTAAGCGGAATGTAGCTTCTTTTAAACTGTAAAGATGTGAGGTCACACAAAAACGAGCAAATTATGCTAGTTTCAAGCATTCTAATAAAAGGTGTACGAAACTACTTACTTCCATCCATAAAACTACCTCAAACTCGAAAACCATATATTTTGAAATAAGCCTCTTATACGTACAAATAATAAAATGCATATATGGAGCCATGATTTAAAAAAAAAACTTTCTTTTTAAACTATTTGTTATCGTGATAAGCATTTTTCGATAATAATTTTTAAGTCTTAAAATATTTTATAAACAAAGTATAAAAGATAGTATTTGAATAACAAATTGAATTAACTAGCAAAATAAAACTTTTCAAGAAATATATGCTATTGAGTAGGGAGTGTCGGACAGGGAGAAATTTCATAGTGTCGGGAGGGGATGCGGTGAGCCTTTTATTTACCTGTTAATTATTTTTAGTTTATGAACATGAAAAGCTATTTTTATCCATTTTGGTATTTATCAACATTTCCTATACCTTTTCTCGTTTAATTTATAAAGTGCATTAAAAATAAGCTAAATTTAAATAAATTTATACGTTTTTTTCCAGTTTTGGATAGGAAAGGGGGACTGATTGTCTAGCAATAGTAAAAGAGGGTGAGATACGCACGTACATACGTACGTACAGACGCCACGAAAAATTCTCTTTAGAATTCATTTTAAAGCAGTTTTATAATTTTTTTGGAGGAAAAGAGTCTTTTATTCTGTGCTTACGTACAGATGTCACGCAAAAACATCGTTAAATTGCATTCGATAGCGGTCAAAATGCATATTTTCGTTGAAATATGCTGCCTGAAAATTTTCGCGATTACAATATTTCCTTTTTACTTCGTACAAGGAAGTAAAAATAGAAGCTTTTAAAATTCATCTATCGACTAAATATATATAAACATTCCTAACAATTCACTGTCGCCATATTCTCAAATTAAACTATAAGAGTTAATTGGTGGGTATCTAGTAGAGAAAAAGATTTTCATGTATCCAAAAGTTATTATTCTGATATATTTCGCGCAAACTCAGATAAATGCTGAAGAAACATATTACCTACTAAGGAAATGATGTGCTATAATTAATCAAGAATTACGTTACAAAATAAATGAGGATTTTTATAATTACAGTTTAAAAAATACCAGCGTATTATTGTATGCAAACATTATTTCAAATTTAAGCATTATAAAAGCTTAAAACTCTTACTGAAAAATTTAAGCGTGATAAACATAAAATTTAGTTAGCGCGTTAAATTATTATATTACAACTTTAAATTTAATTAACACATTTTGGATTTTGATTAATGAAATTCAATAATTCATGAGGATTACACAAATCGTGTAAAAGAGAAAAACGTTACTTACCAGCTTCACTGTTGTTGTCAGTACTCAATTGAGAGCTAGGTTGTTGAGAGATAGGACCAGGGGTGCCCGTGGAACCCGCTGGGGACCGAGCATCATCGGGTCCCGTGCTGTATGAATTGAGAGACTGAGATGGCGGTCTCTGGTAGGGTAAGAAAGACTGTTTACAATTACTATGGCGCCTTTTTTAAGACCATTCTTATTTATACATAGACATAAATCCAACTGAGACATTTAAAAAGCTAAAGTAATAAGAATCTGAGCTACACACAAATTATTATAAAATTATAATAATTACACTCATTCGGTATTTTACATCTATTCACTGAAAACAGAAGTCATAAACTGTAAAATACACAGTAACAATACAGTAAATCAGAGAGCCTAGTCATCAGCAGCGTAGGATGTTATAATCATCAGTAAAATAATCTGAAGGTTAAAAAACTTTCGGATTTTTAAGATATCTTAATTAAATTTTTGCAATAGTAGCATTTCTTATCATCAGAAGAAAACGCGTGTTTTACGATACGTACTTTACATGTATAAGCATGTATTAGTTGTGCTTTACATTGCTTAATTATGTTATATTACTTGTATTTTAACGCTCATAGTATTTTAGATTGAGCACAAAATAACGGAATCTTTAAGGAATGGCTATTTCATTTTAAAACTATTTTTGTCATGTATAACAGAAACATGAGGCATAGTTAAGCAATTCTCCACTAACGCAAATCTCAAAAATAAAAGTTCTCAAATCGTGAGTTTTAAAAACTGTTATTTGAATCATAAGGAAGTATTTTACAATCTGGTGTGATAGAACCATTCAAAAACTTATCAGAGTAACATTCTGCACTAATACAATCTATTTAATACATTAGTGATTCTTCTTTGCACCATCCACAATTACAAGGTTTACTTATCAATATGTGGTTGATGTAATAATTGCGTTAGTAGGAAGAAAGGGTACTCAATTTCATGCTGCACGTCGGTGTCCACCACATGGGCAAAGACACGCTTAAGATTACCTCAACTAGCATCTTCTAGAACACTGGATTAGACGTTCTGATTAGAATGATCTGCCACTGATGCTTCTTCCTGTCACCCAACCTAACGTCTTGCGATTTTTTCCTTTTAGAATATGCAAATGACAAGCGTCCTTATCCTACATCTACAGAATTTATAGCACTTAAACCAGCGGACAGACGATATGGTCCACTCAACTGATCAAGCTATGCTAGCACGAATGTGACAAGAATGAGATTATTGCGTAGACATGTCATATGGTAAAAAGGTTGCTTATATCGGAGGAATATATGAATCAAGCTTTTGTATTATATCTATATTTGTGAAATAAATTCATTGTAGCAATCACAATTATATTTCCTTTTTGTACCATTCGTTTTGATCACACCCTGTATTCACTTTGGATCACGCCCTGCACTCATAGAGTAAACGAAATATTTTATACAAGTGGTCATAAAAGGAGAACCAGTTCCATGAATGCTTCGAAACACTTTAGATTTGGTCATTTTCACAATAAAAAGAAAACTAGCATTATGTTACGTTTAATAAGGAAGAAATTTTGATCTCCCTGCTCATACGATCATTCTTCTGTAAAAAATTATTTCCTCCTGAGATATTTAAAAAGTTGTCTTTACGTTAACAAGCGTCACGACCTGAAGCTATATAAAAACATCACCATTCTCTGTATACAGGAAAGTAAGCCATTTCAGGTGAGAGACATAAAAAGTGAATGCATCTCTGTGTGAGTACTGAGCTAAATATTACTCAAGGATTGTTTCTAGAAGCTAAAGTTGTAGATAAATTTATATCTGCATTATAAAAAGAAAATATAACTTTTAATTTACTGCAAAGAATTACAACCATCCAGTATCTTGTGACAGCAATGTTCCTCTAGCAGCAAATAATAATAAATAATAATAAGCGTAAAATTACATAAACTTTAACAACTATAGAGTATTTTAGATTTTCATATGAAGATGGTTACAGTCTCGATGATTATCTATGAGGATGGTTACAGTCTGGATGATTATCTATGTGGATGGTTACAGTCTGGATGATTATCTATACGGATGGTTACAGTCTGGATGAAATCTATATAATTCTATATATAGTGTTGAACAGTCTCATCCTTTTACAATTTTAAAACAAAATACAGGATAAAAATTAAGATATATATTAATGCAAGCACCGATTCAATTTATTTTTTGTGAAATATTTGCTTGGGTAAGTTGGGTTACTTGGATTATGGCAAAGCCCACAAAGGCTATGTGCCTGAAGGAAGAGATGCCTTCATAGAAAACTTCTCAAGGGAAACTCAATAGTAATCACGTCACACATATAAAAAACCCGTTAAAAACTCCCGTGCACTTGTTCTCTTCGCCAGGATCTGAACTCGATATGAACTAAAACATTAGAACTCCCATGCACACGGGCTCTTCGACAGGATATGAACTCAAATCGAACTAACAATGCTCAGAGATCTTAAGGCTCTGAGGCTCGTTTAGATCAGGGTTTTGTAAACTTCTTTCAGTCGCGACCCCTTTTTTTCACTGAGATTTTTTTGCGACCCCCAGGACCCCATAATATTTACCAAAATTTTCCGGGAGCCCATAAGTATTGCGCAAATCCGACACACGCGTGAGTGAAACTGTCAATTTTGTCACTTGTACTGTAATATATTATTGGAGTTATAGGTCATTAACTTTAATTTCTAATTTTACATATAACATGTGACATAGAACAATGTGAAAATTTTAAATAAGTAGCAGACGAAATGACAGCGTTACGCGCAAAGCAAGGAAAATGAACGTTTATATTATAAAAAGAATGCGTCGAAAAGTTTTTTTTCCCCCTTGTCTGTATTGTCTTACCTTTATCTCTTTTCAAATATACTGTATAAAAATATTTAGTAATAGTAAAATTATTATAATAAGTAAAAAAAATATCAAAATTGCTAAAATTTTTGGCGACCCCCTGCTGCAGGTACCCTAGGGGGTCGCGACCCACAGATTAAGAAACCCTGGATTAGATTCAAAGGCATCATATGTTAGCAAAATTTTTTAAACTGCACCAACTAACAAAATATTACCCACAGCCTAATTTACGCCAGCTAAATAACACTGTAACCAGAGGAATTTAATTTCTTATTTTAATGCGCACAGTATATTTGTGATTACATTTGCAATACCTCAGAATGAATTAGAATCATAGAAAAAGTTTTTACTCTAGACACTCATCGAGATATAGTAAGTTCGTGAGGTTAAGAGCATTTAACAAACGAACTTCACCAAACTGCAGTACAGAATAACAACGTAATGTCCCATTAAAAAGTAATAACCTACGTTTCACACATCAAACCTCTACGCTGCAAAGTGTCACTCAAACGAGCTGGAGGGGTAAAAAAAAAAGCAAAGAAAAGAAACTAGGAAGCAGTATAAAATGCGGACAAAGGGGGCGGTTTTACTAGCCATTTCAGAAACATAACAGTTCCAGGGCTAAGAGGAAAAGCTTTTTAAAAAGGTCACCCAATTTGCTCTCAAGTGCCATCATAAAAATGTCCGACAGCCCCTAAAAACGGTCACTCAGGGGGCTCTTGCTCGGCTACTGGAATAAATTTATGTACACGGCAATGAAGTGATGGCAGGGGGATGGAAAGGGCGCCAAGTAGCACGAAGCGTGACGTCATTTCACTTTTCCCTTTGATTGCACACCCAGCTATCGATAATAAGATCTGTGTAATGAAGGCTTAATGGACTCTCAGTTATCTCATAAAATTAGCTGAACAGGATATCTAATAAATGTAGTAATGATGTAATGAAGGAAATACTTTGCGTGACCTAATTTACGCGATCATAATAAACTACTCGAAATGAATGGAAGTGCTAAGTTTTGTTTCTTTTCTTCCTTTATTTTTTAAAACTGAAGAGTAAATGAAAGTGTCTGGTCATCGAAAACAAAACAAGCTTGTCATGGTGAATTGAAATATCGAGCAGGATATTTATTTTAGCGCAGCGTACACGATGAATTTCTTTTACGAAATATTAAGCAAGAATTATAATTCTAAATACTGTTTCTTTGAAAATGCACAGTAAAGAAAACTAGACCGAAGATACCGCAAATCTCGGCTACTTGAGCAAAACAGAAATCTTCGCTAGGAGCACAACGCAGACTGAAATATTCTTCTTTAGTGAGTAAATTATATTGATTTTTAACTGAATGAAGAAATCACAGAGATGGAAACATTAATGATGCCGAAATTGTATAACGAATGCAATGAATTTAAAAGAAATGAGTGAGTTAGCTTCAATAAAATATCCCAAATCATTTTTATTAAATTTCCAGTGTCATTATTGTGACTTCAAGGTCACTCTATATCTCCCTCACAGTTCTTTCTTAGTTCTTCAGTACCTTAGACCCACCAGCGGCCGGGAGGTAAAATCTCTGGACACTGGGAATTCTGATCTGGGTTTGATTTCAGGTGAACGGGCTGGCTGCGTGGGCGTTTTCGTAGTTCTCCCCATGTGTAAGGTGCGTACGAGGGATTTCCATTAGAAAGCTCTCCACGAAGGCATCTCTCAGGCGGATAGCCTAGTGGATAGCTTTGCTGAATCAACTGAAACCAAACCAATATTCCGTACTTTTTTACTTTTACAGAATTTACAGTTTACTAATCTGTTACACTGTTGACTAGTCACGACCTATTATTGTTGGGACTTATCTCACTTGTCTGGAAGTAACATTAGAACAAGCCCACGAAATTCATCCTGGCAAGGAGCACAAGATTGCGCCTGTCCTTGGCAAGAGCCTTGAGCACCACACAGGTGGAAGTACGACATTGCTCAATTCCGCCCTAATTTTGATGGAGAGCACCCTGGACGAACGCGTCCGAGGGTCTCTCACCCCCTTTCCTCTACCACTAACCTCTCGAGAGAACTTTCGGCTCGCCCGCATATTTAGAGCACCTCCATGCCGCACAGACAATATACATTTACAAACATCCATGCCTTCACCGGAATTCGAACCCGAGCCCTTCGCCACGGCAGACAGCGTCGCTAACCATTGTTCCAGTTAGGCGGCAATCACGACTAAAGGAATGAACCTAAAGGATTCAAAGATGGAAAATCCAGTCCAGCATCT